AGGTTTAAAAAAAGTTTATTAAAAGTATAGAAATACATAAAATGTTTAAGTTCACAGCATACACAATACTTGAGGATTTCAGGGGCGATGGTGGTAACAACACCTCATTCTTCTGCAGGTTCCATCCTCGGTCGATGTACCATGTCTCTTCGGCGGCCTCGTCTTCCTCTCAGCTACCCAGTTCCCATCTGCATTATCCACGGGGTTTCATAGGCGAGTTTGCCTGAACCTCCATGGTGACGCGGACCACATATTGGTAGGGCAGGCAGGGACTATGGCTACTTCGGGATCTCCGTAGCTTCCGGGACTTTAAACTTTGAAGAATACTGACTCGTCGAAGACATTTGGTATACTAAAGGCATCAGCTTTGCTGCGGATCGCGATGACGGAGTGTTAGATTGTTATATTCTAACATCCCGTGGCTCTTCCCTTCGTCAATTTAAATTCAACATACAGTGAATTCACTTGTGTTGCCTTCGGAGGAAGTTGATTCGAAAACCAGTTGGGCGCCATGTCGTCTCGGGGAGAAAAGACTTCTAACATGTCTTTCTGCCTCGCAAGGGGCTTCGTACATTAAAGGCGAAGTACCTCTTGCTTCTGTCCATCTCAGGTAGGACTTTAGGTATAAAATGTAGCTCGTCTTGATAAAGACTAGAAATTTCTTACAGTAAAATAAAACAACACCTTTTGTAGTAGAAAAAAAGTCAGCCACAAAGTCCAGGAAGTTGGCTGGGGCAGAGGCCCGACAAGAAGTCCCCCAGAGTGTAAGATACTCTGGGAAAATCCGTGAAGGACTGAGCTTCTTGGCTTGAAACTCAACTAACATTTATACATAAAATTCCGAGAGTTTTCAAACCAATTGACCAATGGAAATGCATTCAATGGGGGGCGATGCACGCCGATGTGCTCATTTGTCCACAGACTAAGGCACGTGGCGACAAATACATTGGTAACAGGTTGCCAGTCAAAAAGTGGCCACAAATAGTTTTAATTAAATTACTTTTAATTAATTTTTAAACAAAAATTTCGATCATTTATTTGTTTTTTAATAAAAATATGCTGCTCATGGCGCATATACATATTTTTTATATAAAATGAAAGCTACTTTTTTTTAAATATGATGAAATAATGTTGCCCCCAGAAAAAATGGTTGCAAATTAGAATTGCCAGCTGTTAAAAAACGCGAGGTATCAAAGATACAGTGAAAGAGAGCTATCGCGCAACGCTACTGGTTTGACAAAAATGGCGAGTGTCAGATTATTCTGACCAAGTTTTGAAGTTCGTCATACTGTTATTACATTGATTAAAGTAAAGTTTGCATTTTAGAAAAATGAAAAACTATATTTTAAATTACATATATGTATAAAATATGTATATATGTATGTAATATGATTATCATTAACATTATCTATCGACGCATGCATGATGCGATAAAAATCTGTAACACATACAAGTACCCAGATTACTTAATAACGAATATCAGTCCAAGTAGGGAGTGCACAGGAGAAATGATGCATGCAAAGCGTCATACAGACGGTGTGCCAAAAGAAGCTAAAAGGTCGAATATTTCGCGAAATTTACATCGCATAAAAATGAGTTGTTCTATATTTTTCAAAAATCTATCGAATAACACGAAACATGAGCCCGCCCTCAAAAGCACAGGACCAAATACTTACAAGAAATTGAAAGACGACCCTACTAGAAGAGTTCCGAGGAAAACTAATCCATTTGTTCAAGTTATTTTCATTAAACAACAAATTAGCATTTGGCATTTGTGGACGTGAGAAAGGCCTATGACTGTACCAAGGTCAGAACTATGGAAGGCAATGTACAAATTAGAAATACAGACGGATATCATAGAAGCTACAAAAGCTCTGTATGAAGAAAATAAAGTGCCCATTAAAGTGGAAACAAGGAACAACAAAAGGGCTCCTGCAGGGTTGTTCCACATCTCCTACCCTATTCAAAATATACTTGAGAAAGCCTTGACTACATGGAAAAGAAAATGCGAAGGCATGGGAGTACCGGTACGGAACGAATACCTGTATACGTTAAGCTTTGCAGACGATCAAAGAATATACCAAGACTAGCCTAGATATTAACCTCGCGAAAACAAAGTATCTATCTAGTGAAGAAGACATAGATCTACAGATTGATGACAACGTAACAATCAAAGGAAAGGATAAATTCAAATACTTGAGGTTTATAATCACGAAAAGGGCAACAACAGGGGAAGAAATTACGCAAAGATTACGACAAACAAGAACAGCAATCCGACAATTAAACTCAGTATGGGGTATAGACACCTAAATATGAAGACAAAAACACAGATTTATAAATACATTAGTGCGAAGTATTATGACATATGGGGCTGAAAATTGGATTATAAACAAGAAAAACAGCAGTAAGATAGTAGTAACAGAGATGGAATGCCTGCGAAGATGCTGCAGAGTAACAAGAATGGATAGGAGAAATAATGACGAAATAAAGCAAAGAACTTACTAACATATAGATAGAAACAGACATACTAACATATATAGAACAAAAAAGACTAAAATAGTATGGACATGTAAGAAGAACTAGTGGCAGCGGATTGATAAAGAGAATAACCTAATGGAGCCCCATAGGAAGGAGGAAAAGAGGACGACCCCGAAGATCCTGGAGGAACGAAGCAGACGACGCCATAAGTAACAGAGGCCTAAATGATGGAGAATGGGACAACAGAGAGAGATGGAAACGGTTGAGCGAGGAAAGGAAGTGAATACTGTAGAATCCCTGTATATATATATATATATATATATATATTAGTATAATCATCTCTTGATAAGTCAGAAATCATCCCAAAAAGCTCTTTCCGTCACCGATTTACTTAAACATATATATCCTGTAGGATTTCCGATTTTACTAGCAAACTAATGAGGTGGCAATCGAAAGTCCATCGAGCCAAGTTATTCCAAACGTTTTTCATGAAAAAAAAAAAAAAAATCCGAACAAAACGCAATACGCTTTACATATGATGAGCCATTGCATTGGTTCCATTATGTGGATAAACTAAACCCTAACACTCTCAGTTGGCCATGAAAACATAGAACAACACACGGATTTAATTTTTAGATGTTTTAGTTAAAAGAAAACCCAACGCATTTGAGCAGAATATACCGAAAATCAACAATGATCGAGGACATTCATAAAAACCTTAAAGGGATCATTTTACCTGGATATCTGAATCAAAATATTTGGATGAACAATTGAAAGATCTAGAAAAAGCGTTGGAGCAGAACAGATATATTTTTAAGGCACATCAAACGATTCATACTTCACAAAAAGAGTAAAATGCAATATTGAATTAACATTGACAACCAAAAGACACAACTTTCTTAGCGTATTGTTAAAAAAACCCGGTCTTCTCAGAAGCACCGAAGATTCCAGGACACACAAGAAAACTATAAACAATAGTCATTTAATATCCATCATCCATCGTCATCAAGAAATAATTATAGACCACGACCTACAAACCTCGAAACAATGTACCATTGACTAAGTACAGTATTAAAGAACTGAACATTCAGTTTATGAGCGAGGAAGCACAAAGTAAATTTAAATAAAGTATCAAATGAACCGTTAACTTACCTATTTTTCTTTGATAGCTACATTGAAAGTAACCATTCCATGATTAGAATACGAAGACAGGACACTATTAGGAAACATAATGCATTTTTTGAACAGCTCATCTTCAGGCATTTCGTTTAAACAATAGTCGGTTCTGATCAATTTCTTCTCTGGTCTCCTCATGTCTATTATTGATACTTCATAGACAAATGTTTTTAAATCGTTTTTGCTTCCCACAATTTCAGCAGCCATAAGACAATGTTCAGCCACTCTTCGACAAGTAATTCTAAATATGTGATTACATGTTATAATACACTTTCGATCAAATATTTTATTGTAACAGTTGTTCTGATCTAAGCGGAAAGAATCAGTGTAACTTGTACTGCCGCAGTATATAACCGAGTCAAAATGAAAATTTATAAGGTGCTGAACTATAACTTCATGATTTCCATTTGATGTACAAGTTGGAAAAGGGCAACTGTAAGGTTTAAAAGAACATTCACTTTCGTGTTTCACAATATGATTGGCAGATCCAATTTCTAAACATCCAGAATCGTGATACACACATGGATATTGAACACCTGCTGTCAGGCCTTCTAAAGAATAGTTTCGAGTATTACCAAATGCTGATCTGCAAGTTGGACATTTCTCTAGTCTAGGTCTACACATGTTGCAAATACTATGGCCTGAGCTACATTGGAAAATAGGAGGTTTCATAAAATTTTTACATACAGGACATTCAAAAAAGTGCAATATTTTATCATCAATTGTTTCCCCAGAAGGTTCTTCCAATTTAATTTTAAATATATTCGTTATAGTATCGGAGATATGGGAAATTTGCTTAAGTGCATCTAGGTCGATTTCCATAGCAATGCTTTCATCAAACTCATTATAAATGTGATATGAAGAGAGAATTTTTGATTTTGTTTTAATATAGTTTTCACTTCCTCCTTTGTGCTTGACTGAATACTCACAAAATGATGAGTAATCATCATCATGTACACTGCAAATTATGTAGAATAGTTTATTTTTTCGAAGATTAGTCTGCATCCTGAGTATAAAAGTGTGCTGCTTCATTACCAGTAATTTTACCATGTTTGTATCACTAAGAGAGGTTTCCAAGAAGAATAAATTGTTTTCAAAGTTAATAACATGATCACCATGACATTCTTTAAAGTGTTCTATGAAATCAATTGTACTTCCTTCCCAATCACAACCAAACTTTAACATGGAACATACTTTGGTGCGATATTTACAACCTTTTTGATGAAAATCTAAATCTTCATAAGATACTCTTACAGCACAACCTTTAGTTTTATATTTGCAAGGCAGTTTTAATAATTTTAATACATTCTCTAAAGCTGAATTATTCATACTTTTCCAATTCATTATTTCTTGCTTTTCTTCATAACATTTTTTACAAATGTTTCCTACATTCTCTACTAACATAATAGGAGGTTTTAAAATATCTTTACAAACTGCACAAAAAAGGCAACTGCTTTCTAGTAATTCATCCATAAAATTCAAGAGTGATTGTTCTGCCATTGCACCTTAAAGAAAAAAAAAAGATATGTAATAGTGATAATGTTTTATGCTACAGACAAGATAAATTCACAGAAATTCAATGATTTATATTCTACTTTCTATTTATCGTCTTGTATTCGAGACAAGGAATTTTTTTCACACTAAAACTACCTAATATGAATAATATAAAATTGGTTTAATAAGATTATTTTTTGTTTTCAATAAAAAAAGGTTTACAGATAATTCTGACTCAAGTGCACCTTACATACACATATATTATAATTTTATTCTATAAGAATTGCTCTATTTTCTCGTGTTTACCTTTACTAAGAAGTCAGTGAATCCCATGAAAGTATTTACCACATTTTGGGCATTCCCTTCTTTAGGAAAAAAATTGAAGAGGTATTACTGATAAAATATTTTTCACCTAAGAAGACCGCTTTACAATTATATGCTGGTAACTTTATTACTAGCGGACCAGATAAGCGGCGGTATATTTTACACTACCTTTTGTGAATAACATTTTACTGCTCTGTTGTTTCAATCACACTGCTCAACAAGTTTCCCATCGTTTATTGGTTTTAATATTTTATTGCAATAATACGAATACGGAATATTGATTTAAACAGTAACTTTATTACATGTTAATTGTTTTTAATTTCTTCTGACATATCGTATAATGTAGGTTTACCCAATAATCCAAGTTATGCCTTTACAAGAACATAGTATTTGAAAAATAAGGAGTAAATGCTATGTGTCGTAATAATTGTAAGCTCCTTTATACACACTTTAAAAATTTGTTTAGTAAATCCACACAATCATTGAAAAAATATTTATGCTGTTTAAAAATATCTTTCTGTTAACGACAATGTCATCGACAAAGTTGATCAAATTCAAACGTCATCATATTTCTGTTTATTGTTAAAAATTAATTGATGGTCGTGGGTTATATTGGTGTTATTTAATAATTTTACAAAATACATAATCAGCAAAAACTTATTTAAAACATGCGAACGGTTTTTACAAAATCAATGCAGTGTTTATGCTTGTTTAGCATTGGCTGTTAAATAATTTGTGTTCGATTGTTTTTAGGGTGTAGTATTTGTATATAAGTACCTATTCTTATAGTAGTGTAGTGAAGCGGTACATTTCAACAAAATGAGTAATTTTGAAGAAAATAAAATACAGTCGAAACGTCGAGTGTTATCTCCAGAAGAACGGCGTTTAGTTATAAAAGTCGAGAGTTATTTTAATTTGGAAAAAAATATTATGGGCCCATTGACATCTTTTACGGCAGTTCAGAAACGAACATACGATGTTTGCGGTATCTCAGAGAGGACATTCCGAAGAATTAATAACATGAGTGAGGTTGAAATAAATAAAGTAAGCAAGAGAAATTATCGACATCCAAAAACTTTAGATTTGCACCAGTCAATTAACAATAAAAAATATTATATATAATATGTATAAAGCCAAAGAACATGCAAAAAATAAAAGACAAGGAACTGTGTGATATTAGTTTAACAAGTTTGTGGAGAGTACAGAAACATTTAGGTTTTCGATATAAAAAGACAAATAATAGACAAGTATTGTGTGAACTCTCTAATGTTGTTTCAAAACGGTGGCATTTTTTAAGAAAATACATGAACAATAAAACATCTGATAGTCCAAGGTAAGTTGTATTTTTAGATGAAACTTGGATTTTCGTTAAAGGAAATATGTCAAAATCATCCTGGCAAGAAGGCACCACGAAATGTTATTCTTCTAGTCGTTCCGGTAATGATAAACGCTACATTATACTTCATGCTGGAAATTATGAGGGTTTTATTCCTGACGCTACTTTAATTTTTTCGCCCACAAAGAATACAGGTGATTACCATGGAAATATGGATACAAATATTTTTGAAGAATGGTTTGAAGAAAATTTGTTAAAAAAATTGGAGCGACCATTCCTAATAGTGTTGGATGCATCCTACCACTCCAAAGTAGAAGAGAAATTTCCTTCAAGTAGCTGGACAAAAGAAGAAATAAAGTTGTGGTTGACAGAAAAGAAAATTTATCACAATGACATGTTTTAAAAGTTGATTTACTTCAAAGGTGTGGAAAGCACAAAATTCAAAAGAAATTTGCCAAATGGCTCTTAAATATGGCCATGAAGTTCTTCGACTTCCGCCCTACCATTGCCACTATAATGATGAGTTAGTTTGGGGTATAGTTAAAAAATTTTATGATAAACATGCATCCAAAACAACATATGACGCTAGCGTTCTTAGTTTACGAAAAGAATCGCTAGAACAAATTTAATAAACACAGAACAATGACAAAATTGTATTAGACATACGGAAGACTTAATCGTTCAGTCTTTTCAAACCGAGCGAGTTATAGATGAGATGCCTCTAATTATTAGGATAGACAATTCAGATAGCGACGACTCTGATAGTGAAATATCCAGACAATGAATAGGACAAATCATTTAATAAAAAGAAGTAACAAAAAAGTGTTTTAAGGATTGAATTTGGACTTTGTGGTGTGTTTTACTTAAACGATAAAGTACCTTCAGTCTAATTACTGGACTGCATGCTCTCAATAGCTTTGGTATTAAATACTCTACTACACATGTTTAAACATTTTGTTTTGCTGAAAACTCGGAAGTGATTTAGTGCCAATGTTTTCGAGGTTATATTTATATGTTTAGAAATACAGTCTTCAATGTATTTTATTCAAATTTTTTCAAAAACATTTGATATCGACAAATAATTTCAAGTATTCGAAATATTCTGTCCCATTTCTTTTAACACACCCTGTATATACATATTATATCCATTTTATTTGCCTTCGATACTGTAAAATTCAATATTATTACTGAACATAAAATACAGGACATTAAATATTTTTACATTTCAATCAAGTTTCTATTTTAATAAGCAATTAATCAACAAATTAGATAGATGAACAGTTACTTTTGAGGAGAGAATCTTTTTAGCAATATTTAGCAAGCAAGTCGACAGTATGATATGAATATCTGGTTGATTTTTAATAGTAGAACCAGTTATGTTATTTCATATTGAGGAAAAAAGGTCTTCTAAAAACTAAGAATTTTGTGACTCAGAAAATACAAAATAGCTACATACTCCAGTCCCCAGTCGTCAGAGACGAAAATGCCACTGAACCTTGAAAAATCATACAAACAAGCTAAATTTTGGCCAAAAAGTCAATAGTAGGACGCCGAAAAAGATTACCACTTTTACCCCCGGGCTTTCCCCTAAAATCCCTTGTAGAGGGGGGAAATAGAAAAAAATCAATTTACCAAGAATCTGTATGTCATAAAAAAATTTGTTTTTAAATAAAAAATGTAGCTAAGATAATTTTGAACAAAAATGTTTATTAGCACTTTTTGTGTAGAATGAACCATTCTCTCAGAAACAATGATTGAAGCGACCTGCAAGTTTGAATGTCAGTTATGAGCGTGAAATCAATGCTCAATAAAATTTGTATCAGCTAGACGGTAAAAATTTAATATCTTTTTATTCAAATATCCTATAGACTAAAATCAAGATGTTCTTAAAGATAAAGAGTGCAGCTTTTGTATACAATTTTTGTATTTTGTCGAAAATGAACTCAGTTTTTATAAATAGATATGGTGCGATTTTAGCCATTTTTTATCATTCTCATGAGTATCCCTTTCATTGACTGGCTACTATGGAGTTTCGATGACTGGAACCCAACCTTCAAAACTGATAGGACAAAATTTTAGTTTTGAGTTTTGGCAACAAATGTGAGGCATTTGAAATAAGCTTAAAAAATGAATTTAAATGTTCACATTATAAATGATCTAAAATATTTAAAGCTGCACATTTCCTGTTACATGCAATTGTTTGTAATGTAAGAGTTTAAATTCTGTGTTTTTTAGTCATATTTCAAATGGTTCATATTTGTTGCCGAAAATCAAAATCAAAATTTCATGTTATAGGTTTTGAAGACCTGTCTCCAAAAATTGAAATTTCAAAAAGAATACATTTTTAGGAACGGAATAACTATTAGGTTTGTAAACTGAATTTTTAAAAAGGTGTCAAGTTATGTTTAGGAGGTACCATATGTATTAAATATAGATACTGTCCATATCCAGAGCCCTGAAGAAAGTAACTGTACCCATACCTGAATTATAGGAGACTTCAATGCAATAATGGAAAACAAAGATCAAGTGAAGAAAAGGTCACACGAAAATTTTAAATTCCATAAAAAACCAGAGGTTTTCTATACTGGATTGACATTTTAACTTTCAATTAATTTAAAAATTAAACCTCTCAAAAAATAAATTCCTCATTTATTCAATATGTTTAGGGCCTGACAAACAGGGTCACTATAACCCACACTAACATCTTTAATATACCTTATGTTTGTGACATATACTGGGTTAAAATCAATAGAAACTGATTATTAAAATATGGGAAATATGAAGAAAAATAAACATCTTCAGTAGACATATTACATTGAACTTTAATCTATGATTACTTAATACTTTTAACCTATAAATGATATCACATCAAACAATAGTATTCTAACAATAAATTCTCTATAGGTAAATATTTTATTAGTTTATGGCATAAACATAAAATGATGGGCCAATATCTTAATATGCAGAAAGTCAGTTATATGAAATCAAAATAATTATTTTGTTAGCCTTACTTCTTTCATCTGCATGATCGAACTTTTTAACTAAATTTTTTTGTATAAAAATAACAAATTTATGGATACAGACATAGAGTTAATATAAATACAATATGGTGTACAAATAGTATACCAAAAATTCTTTAAAAGTGCTCAAAATCTTTTTACATAATGTCATAAATTTTCTATTTTTTCTTATTTAGACATGTGAAGATTTTTCTTTTTTTCGTAATCCTTAAATATTAGTTTTTAAATATCTTATTGCTTTTAATTGAGTATGTTTCGTTTGTAATGTAAATTTCAACACTGCGAAACACCAATATTTCATTTTGTCAAACTCATTTGAAGCTATCTTCAATGGGACCAAATGTGAAAATCGTCTAAGATATATATTTCCTTATCTAGAGTTCCCTTGATATCTTTTTTGTCACTGGCATATTTATCTCTTTTTATGTTCACTCTGATTTTTTCTTCTTCTAGTGTCTCTGAAATTATATTCTCAACATACTCCTATACCTATAGAACAATTGATACTCTAATTTAATTTTTTAAATCAATTTTCAAACTTCTTTACATTCTAGCAATTCTTAATACAAAACTTAAAAAATATTTTATTTTGCGATAATAGGTATCATGTTTTGTCTGGAGAAACATTATGGGGGTTGTAACCTCTATTAATGATTAGTGATAACACTGTGTTTTTCCAATAATTTTAATGTTTAATTAAAGATATTCTTTGTTAATTCAGATTTGATTTTACTCATAACATATAACTTACACTTACACATTAATGCAACCTGATTTCATTTACTGTAAGGAAAATTTACTGATAGCAAAAATTATGAACATCTTGGTCTTGTATATTACATATTGTTAATGGTAGTGTTCACAGACCACTATTTAGCAACTGGTTAAGATTGCTGTTCCTGGTATTGGCACAATTAGGGTCATTGAAATTAAAATATTCTACAATACTAGATCTCTAAAAATGTATTCCTAAGATACTTACCTGTTTGTTATGTGTATATGTGTTCAGTTTATTGCCACTGTTTTTAATTCACACATGTAATGAAACTTGAAAAACTGTTACAATATGTAAGATTCTTACGTCAGGTTTTTCACTATCATCACTGTTGTGAAATGTGTAAACTGAAATACAATCACATCAACATTTGAACTTATATTATTATTGATCTGGTACTTTGTGTTTATTTTAAAATTTTATCATAAAATGTAAACAAATCACATCTTCAAATGTCATTTAATCTTTAATCTTCTTGTTTGCCTTCATAGTTTGTTTCTGTAATCGTGCTATCCAGCCATAAAATAAAGAGACTTAAAAGTAACTTAAATAATTTAAATTTCAAGATATTTAATATTGACGAAATTATATAGTTACAAAAAAGTTAAACGTACTAAAAAAATAAAAGACATTTTTGTTGTTGTAGACATTTTTTAAGTGAAAACTTCTGTAGACAGTTTAAATAGGGAACAATTTTAATTTCCGTGAGCCTGAAATCGGTTAATAATGTAAGGTAATGGATGCCGTGTTTGAAAAAATTAAATTTACACCATTTTGTAGATTATTTTAATACTTTGACGCTGCCATGTATTATATACCTACATGTATAATATTTACATCTTCTACACAATCAGTAGGGGAGAGTGGGGCTTCTTTAGACATAAAAATTTGAACTGTCATATCACTCTAAATACCAAAATTTCACTGTATAGGTATATGCTTTTAAAATTAAACCCTATACTTGAAAAGGGGCCCCACTTAGGGACACCTTCAGACCATGAATGGTACAGCTTCAGACACAATTGGAAAAATGACAACCTTGTATAAATGTTTCAGAAATTATTTATTACAATATTTAAATTTATATTATGGTACTTAATCAAACTCCTAATGAAGTTTTCCAATGAAACTGAAAAAGACAATAATGATTTATGTCGCTTTGTACCCTGCTCAGGAGTTGGCAAAAGGGCTACAATTTCTGATACAGAAGCACTGGTTGAGAGGAGCGGCTAAAGACACAGTGGTGCTCTCTACTTTGCGCATGAGTCAAAATATTTACAACGTTGTCGTGTTATAACCTTCCATATTACATTGACATAGGACAGAAAACAATTGTTATTTGTTCTGTGACATTGACATCTCCAGGAAATTTAAAATGTCAGCTGATTCATAATAGAATTTGATAGAATAGAGGTATATTGTTTACTTCCTTAATTTCAAAAACTAAAACACGTTTCTCAGTACAAAGTTTATAATTGAAGTAGAAATAATACTGCTGAGTTTATTTTTCCTTATTAGGACTGTAATCTAATTAGATATTAATATTTATTTATTTATTGACGGGCTAAACCCTTTTTTAGTTTGTGTACAATATGCATAAAATACAGTAAGATATCTCTGATGTTTGGGAAAAAGGGTTTAAGTCATAAAATCAAAGTTTACAGGAGGAATACTTGAATGTTTCAAAAATTGTTATAAATCGCACATCTTACCTTTAACCAATTTAGCACAATAATACCATTCAATGTACCATAATAAAGTGATAATTATAGCAAGAAGATGATTTTCGTAGATTTTTAATATTGTAGATGCACTTAAGACATATAGATCTTACTATTTACTGACTTAAGACCTACTGACCGCGACTTTTCTATATCTATATTTTTGTGTATTTACCATTGAAAGTGATTAAACTGGATTGGGAATTAAAACCAAAACAGCATTAAATATTTTTCTGACAAAATATTGACAAATGAATGTTTTTTTAACAAATAATTATTAAAAAAAGAGGCTAGTCTTCGTAAATGGGTATATTTATTTAAAAACCCTTAAATGGGCTACATCAAGAAAAACAAACGTTTGCGGACTAAACAGTCCATCATCAGGTTTAAAATTTTTAAAATTACAAGGTTATAATGCCTGAGCCACCAAAATACCTGGGTAAAAACCCTTTAAATTAAATCTAGTTGTAAAAAATTGTACATCTTGTGGAAAAAGAACTGTGATGTTCAGTATTAAATTAAATTTGACTTCAGGTAACATACATGGCTGAAGTGAGTACCAGAGCCGGAGAGTAAACCTCTTCAAACGGAGAACAGCTGGTAACCAGCTGTTACTACCTCGCAATAAAGTTTATACATTTTTTTCAAATTAAGATGATTGGAAAGATACTTGTTAATGTTGTCTCTGCGAGTATAGTGACTTTTGTATTGCGGAAATGAGTTAATATGATTTATAATTAACTCTCTCATATGTTCGGTTTTTTTGTTTCCAGGTGATTTTCTTCCTCGTTTATCTGCATCTGTAATACCTGATTTGTGGTTACCTTTGTTAGTTAATGCAATTCTTACAAATTTTTCCTTTCATCTAAAATATCCATAAAACACGTTTTACATACAACACGGCGTTCACCTTGGTACTCTAAATGGTATACATATGTGACTTGTCCGGATTTGGCAGAGTCTTGATTTCTTTTTCTTGTTGTAGTAGTATTTTTGCACGAAACTAAGCCACTAATGTACTGTGTCCGCCTATCGTGAGTCCCAAGTGACCAATATTCTTCAAATATTGTCTGTCTTATATCAAAGGTAAAGAAATCTGCACATTTGGATCTACATGGTTTCAATGTCCCTTTTACCATTCTTTGAGCTATAATGTTTCCTGTTACAGTAACATAACCTTCTCCACGATTTTTTTATCTGTTCTTTCTTTTCGAACAACTCGAACCCAAGGTCCTACTCCTCTTTTTCGTTTTTTAATACTTGAACTTGTACCAGAAGGTTCTGCTACATCTGTCTGGTCTACTAAATTATTAGTTACTAATTCGTCTTCTGCTACATCTGTCTGGTATACTAAATTATTAGTTACTAATTCGTCTACTATTAATAAACTGAAACTGTCCTATTGTTCAAACAAACTATTTAGGCTGTTAAAAACAAGTTTAACAAAATAATACAAAATGCTTAGCTAAACACTTACACAGTATACAGCCGACTGAAGTGTAAATACTGAAGGAATGTTTATGATGTTTATTAGTAATTTGACACGTAAGATATAAAATATTTACGAATTTTGCCAATACAACTAAAATAAAAAAGTGCTATGCTAGAAAGTAGATAACTATTTTGTAAGTAATTAAAATATAAATAATGCCAATATTATTATTTATTATTAGCCAAAACTTTAATTTTTCGGTGTATACACAATATTTTTATAAAAACATTGACCTATTGATCAAACAAAAGAAAATAAATAAAGATCAGCAAGGCTTATGTCAAGACATATGCCTGCTAGATTATATGAATTCTAGATCATTAAGATCAGCAAGGCTTATGTCAAGACATATGCCTTCTAGATCATAGCAGTTATTCCCCAGTATATGGTACAAGAGACATAAATTCACTTAAGTCTTATTGCCATACCATATTGAACAATCATGTTTGTGACCTTCATATCATCGTGGATAACTTTGAATTACAATGTGGTAGACTTAAACCGTTTGTACCAATAGAAAGAGCTGATTTTTTTGGTCCAGAAGGCATAAAAAATTTTTTTTGCGAAATTCTGACTTAAGCCCTTTTTCCCAAACACCAAAGATATATAAGCTACAGTTTTTTAACATGGTTTTTAAATGATGCAGTTGAAGTATTAAATAATTCTAAATCTGTTTGGTAATTGTTCGCCTTACGTAACATCCTAGAAATAACTTCATTAACTCCATAATTAGTAGAATGGAAATCTACAAAAAAACAGGTCAGAACTACGGGTTCTTCGCATAGATATATTAAATGAGATTAAACCCAAAATTTCAGGGCAATTAATAAATCCATTTAGAATCTTATGTAAAAAATATAATTCGAATTTAGTTCTACTTGTCTCTAATTTGTTCATTTTAAGTTGATTAAGAATATAACTGTAATTATAATCTCCACGTCTTAAACCCATTAAACCACATATCCTTAAAAATCTGTTTTGAACTTTTTCTAATTGAGTTTTCTGGGTATTATAAAAAGGACACCATATAATACAGCAGTATTCTATAATTGATCGCACTAGTGAACAGTATAATATTTTAAACGTAAAAACTGAAAAGTCCTTTGAATTTCTCTGGATAAATCCTAACATTTTAAGGGCACGTGAAGTTATGTCATTAATATGATCATTAAAGCTCAGTTTTCTATCCAGTGTTATACCCAAATCACGTACTTGACGTATCTCTTGCAGAACAATACCATTAAGTGTGTAATTATTAAAAGAAGCCTGCGTTTTACTAAACGTGATTTTAAAACATTTTTTTAGATTTAAGTTTAAAACATTTAGTTCACACCAACGTGAAAAATTATTTAAGGACAACTGAAAACATTCACAATCAAAGAGGCAAGCAAATAGATCTGAAGATTTTTATGTTATCAGTAATAATAAAAATTGGTCGGAGTTAATTACCGTTTGTAAATCGTTAACAAATATATTAAAAAGCAGAAAGAGTAATATGAAGGTTTACTTAGATTTACTTTATATAGGAAGCCTGAAAGATTTATTTGGATAACTCATTGATGAAATTTTAACTTTCCCTTGAAAGACATACTTCACCTACCATGTGTACAAGTGAAAATTCGAATGAATAAATTAAAATGAATGTAAAACCAGATACAATAATATAAATTTTGAAAAAACGTTTTTACAAAAAGTTTTATTAAAATATACACACACTGTAATTAAATTATATCAGTTTTTGCATAATTATGTTCATCAGAAGGGTTTGTTAAAATGTATTTTTCGGACAATAAAACGGATTTCATTGATGACAACTCACTGTTTCGTAGCATATTCGGTTTTTTTAGCATTCTTTTTTTCTTAGTAGAATAAAAGCTTTGTTGCTTCCGTATTTTCTTATTTGCTGGCTCTTTATTGTTTATAACTACAGCAGATTGCATGTCATGGTGTAGATTACTTTTTAATAAATTTATGCTGTTCCTGTGAACTTTTAAAGCATGTTCTACTATACTGTCATCAACATGAGTTAGATCAAGTTCAGTAAGCTCTTGGCCATATTGTTTAAGTAAGTCCCGTTTATCTTGTCCTTTGTGAACCCTAACAATACTGCTTGTACCTGGTTGTAATTCAGTTTCGCCGATGGTACTGTTGCTGATACTCTTAGAGTGAATTACATTTACTTCAGTATCATTGTCCCTTTTATTTTGT